CCGCTTTTTGAATGGACAGTCGCCTTTTTGCACGATCGATCTTACGCATCTTCTACGGAGGTAGAAAATTTTAGAATGCTCCGAAGCTTGTCTGCATGATGAAAACTCTGCCTCGTCCGCCAAAATAATAGGCTGGAAGGAAAGTCCTGTCAGTGTCTTTTGGATAGCTTACAGTTTTTGATTCTTGATGCTCGACATGACGTAACATGCTATGCTTGTAGGAACACTCGCCGCGCAAACCCAGCCCTCTGACCCTCCCAAGCGTATGCAGCGGTAACGACTGTAATTAAAACAGATTCAGGAACCAACTCAGCGCAGCGCTCCCGAGTGTGGTAGCTGTGCCATCTGCCATAGCTCTACCCATCGAATCAACGCAATCGAAAATTTTCGAGGTGATATTTACAGTGCTTATTGATTTTCTATGATTTCACACTTGCTTGTGAAAATGTAATTAAGGTGGTAATCTATCGCATGGGGGTTCATCTTCGACCTCCGCTGAAACTGACGTCGAGTGACAATGCTCAGCCGGTTTTTGTCATTTCTACAGATCCAGATATCGATCGGATTACCAGCGACACAAAATATGATAGTGAGCTATCCCTTCTCCGCTTAAAAATTTTCAGAATTTAGTTAACGTGTGTTCTTAGGGATCAAAGTGGCCTTTGGGCAGAACGCGGAACACAAGGACAGGAAGAACAGCAGTTTGATTCTGCTTGCCGATGAAGAAGTGGGTTTTGCAATAAACTGGCCAAATGATAGATTTCCGAGTGAAGACGGGCGGTGCCGCGCTGAAACCATTCTCGTACTGCGGCAAAAACGACTAGGGTGCAGCATAGAGGGACCACGGAATTCTTACCGTGAGTGTCTCTAAGGACAAGGCTAGCACCTGTTAGCATTAGGAAAGACTACTAGTTCTGCTTCCTAGATGTGAGATCCCCTTATTTGAATTGGGTACGTCATACGGTTGAGAAAGAATTCGAGAAATATGCCCCCCTCCCAGAATTTCCTTCTGGTGCAATCCCCTTCAACCTGCCATGTTTGTTGAGTCCCCATCTTCCTTCTACATTTCCAGGCTTTTTTTTCTCCAAAATTTCTTCGGATTTCCGTCGTCGGGGGGGGGGAGTCACAAAAGCATTTTTCTCAACGACATTACGATCCCTTCGTTGGGAGTTCGGCTCGTTCTGACCGATCTAAAGGTCGCCTCTTTTGCGAGGCCCTTCTCTCTCCTTGTACATTATTGCAGTGCAGTCATGTTTACGATGCGCTATTCGGCTAGGAGAGGGAGAAAATTTCGATTCCACAAAACAAAAAACCCCACCAGAGTTATCTAGACTTACGATCTTCTCCCCTTTTCCCATCGCCCATCACACCTACCAGCTTCCTGCTACTTTTCCGCAGTTTTTCCCGAAAGTTCCTTCTTTTTCACCCGAAGTAAACTGCTATGGAGCTGGGGGTCGGGGTCAAAGAGCAAAACGTGAAACCGAGGAAGGTCAGCGACCAAAACCATTTTCGCGAAGGCAAATGCGACCTCCTTTCCTCCAGCGACTCATTACGATACCTGTCGCTGGGTATCCGGAGCGTACGACGTGCTCGGATGGGCAGTGATAGACAGGAATCAACAAATACCCCACCAAACCGAATTCCGCTTTTTTTATAATAACATTTCGATACTTTCACCACCAGCCAATCTGTGGAGAATCACACCTAGATAACCCAAAGTCCATTCCGACATTCCGCGCGAAACATCGCCGGCTACATATATATACCTTTCGTGCATAAACGCCGTGGGATGGAAATGCTCCCCACCACTGAAGCGATGGGTTGAGTGTGATTAGCTTATACCGGAAAGCCGCAGGTGTCCAGTAGTTTTCGCTACAGACGCTGAGCGTCTCGGGGGTGGGGGGAGGAGGGGGCTTCCACCATAGATTGGGCGCAAAGGCGAGACAATTGGTGGAAAGCGGGCTGGCGCCAAACCCGGCCCCTCGACCCAATCGCCTGCAGCGAAAAGAGCTTCATACGAGAGCCAACCAGAAGGACTTGTTGCTGATCCCCAGCGATCCTTCTCTTTCAGGAGGTCGTCCGAATTCCACTTTACTTCATCGCGCCGACGACGACATTCGATGTGAAGATTTGTGTGAAGGACTCTTATGAATACAGTACATCCGCGCAAGAAATGGCTATACTCAGCGTGTCGAACACGGCACTTGGCGTCGACATTGTCAGAAGCAATCTGCCGCTGAACAGTAGGTCTTCTCAGTTATACGTCAACATGTAAGCTAGCTAATTACCTTGTTTCAGAAGATTTCGCGTCTTTTCCGCTCAGCGAAGGATTCTATCAAATCACAGCCAAGGCGCCCAATCATCGCACTGTCTCTAAAGTCGTGCATGTGAGTGTTCCTTCCACTAAAGGCGTCACTCTCGAAGAAGACATCCTTTAATTTATTTTGATATTATTTTTAATTTTTCTTCAGATCAGCCCGGCGAACACATCGTTTTGTGTGGTTATGCAAGCTATCGATCCTCGTTCTCTTCTGACTATCAGTGAGAGTGGAGTGGACGTGATGGAAGTCAAAGCGACAAATTTGGTATTCCTTCTGGGCATTCAGTTGACACTCCATAATCAGGAACAGATCTACAGAATCCGTAGGCGCCGCCAGGACTAGGGAGGGGGTTGCACTTTCTCTGGTTTCCTTTGTTAATTCCTGTGAAATAACAAGTCTCACTTCTATCAACAAATTCTGCTAGCTTTGACTGGTATCTTTCCATGGCTTCACGAGTTTTCACAAATGTCTACTTGATGGCTTGACACTACAACAAGAAGCAGCGAGTATGCGAAATGCCCCGCCCAATCCCCTAGCCGACCTGAACCCGAGCTGATATTAGGTCGCACTTTTTAGCAACTATCAGCTAGAATCGTGGATCCTTTCTGAATGAATTTTCAGCAACAGTTTCAGATGCGTAATCCGCACGTTCGCACTCGACCCACCATCGGTGAACCGATCAGTCAGTAGGATTCTTGCCACGGTCACAGGTTCAACTGCTGGTTTGATCTCAATAGATCCTGTCAGCATTGACGTTTTTACATTGGGTAAGTAGTATTTCACAAATCTGCATTCATTCAGTCAAGCATTCTTCTTCTGTGAATAAACTGATATTTTAGTTTTTTCTGTGGTTTTTTTTCAGCTGAGGAGGGAGTTTGTAGTCTTGGCCTTAGTAACAATCCATTTGGGGGAAAATTCAAAAAAATGCGAATAAATAAAAAAAACAATAATCGAAAACTTAAACAAATATATGCCAGCTTGTATAAGGCGGTACGAGCTGCAACAGCAGTCCGATCTTCGATTGCGGGCCCGTGTGGCGAACGCCGCTGCCTAATGAGTGATCCACCAGTAACTGATGAGGACTATGTGAACCACATTTGTGGAAAGTTTATGATGAGTACGCCACTCTAGGTCTTGACGGAGGGTTGACCTGCCCCCACCCAATCCCTCCAACTACCAATCCCGAGTGTTAATACACCCACGTCCAGGGTCGTATAGTACGCGAAAGCTCCCGCCCTGAGTTGGCCCGCGCTATGATGCGAAGCACTGTTGTCGTACCAAGGTCTCGCGCAAGCGACGCAAGCGAACGTACGAAAGAGAAGGTGAGAGGCGCAGACAAATAACGGCGCTTCGCCACGTTACGTGTGTGGCGCTTGGCTGTCGTGACGCTAATTGCCGTATGGACTCTCAGAAATTTCGGCTCCGAGCTCATTTTCAAATTGCCTAAGCCACCAAATCCACTAAAAACTTGTATATAGAGGTAATTCAACATTCTGATTACGAGTATGACACTCATTCTTGGCGCTGGCGCCAACGTTTACCTCCTGGGCAACGCGGGCGGAATATGAAGACGGCACTCGGGCATCACGACCTTCCACCTCTGTTCTCGTGCGCTTTTGACCATTCATAGATGATTAGGGCCATGTCCCATGCAGGTGAGTGCATTGTTTGTCCTCGAGACGACAATCCCAAGTCAGTCGGTGATTCCCCACTCTACCCCATAAACTCCGTCGAATAAAGGAGGATTGATCCATGTGGATCGACTATCGCGCTACCCGGCAGTACTTCGCCGAAGCTCTAGGCGATTAGATCGGGTCAACGGCAAGGGCACAGTCTAAGTATGGCCAAAGTATTACTTTTTTTGCATGTTTTCTTATTGTGTTATTTGGATTGTTCCACATCTTTGAAGGAGATGACCTAGGCTCCCTCATAGGCGTTTTGTCGTTCCCTGGTGTAGCATCAATACCTATTCAGGTGAATCGCTCACCTTCGAACTTTTCAGAAGCCATCTGCTCGCTCAGTTGAAGTGAACACATCCTTCTGGATTGCTTTCGAGTGGGATCAGCAGTTAGCAGTGTCGGAGCGCTGTAATGCCTACGTCCTGCCAATGCCATACTTATTTCTCGCTGATGGCTCAAACGACCTACAACAGATGACGATCGATTTCATTGTGGAAGCCGCATCGAGCTCATCCCCCAAGCACTGGAAGATTTGTGATGGAGGTAGGTTTGCGGTTTAGTCTTAGACCAACAAGGAACATTTATGAGATGGAGCTCCATCGAAGTAATGATATTCTTTTGCGAAATTTTCACACAAAGTTTTGTTGCTGTAGACGCTGGGGCGTTCTGTGGATTCCACAACTCTGGAAAGCTGGTAGACGACCATAGTTGATGGAAAACCGGCTGGCGCCGTGCCAAGCCCTTCCCTTGGAACTTTCCAGCGTCCATAGCGAACAAGACCTGTAAACGGAATCAGAATCCTCGGACTTCCTCTCACCTATTTTCGCGACTTTTAGAGTCGATGCGACCGCGACCAATGGCGCTGAGCACGAGATTGCCTTGTGACTGCTCTCGAGGAGCCCGAGCAAACTGCAGACGAAAGTACAAGTCAGCGGCGGCATGCGGATCTGCTTGGAAACGCATTGCTGATGACACGGTATGCTCTTTATACAGTCGTTACACCTGTAAACAAAACGAGGTGTTGAGGGGGCGTGGATTGAAAGCGCTTCAGAGC